GTTGCTTGACGGCCAACAAGGATCGAGGTAGCGTTTGTGTATGACGTCACGTCGTCTTTAACTCGACATTTAAATACCAAAACGTAAAATTATCATCTATTGTATATTTAACATAAAAGGTCAATAAACTCTTAAGCACAAAAGTAGAGCCATCTCCCTTGTTCACTATCTACATATATTAACTTTTATTCACTGCTCTACACCTTTTTTCTTTTGATAGCAATGTGAGTTACATAAACCGTGTTCTGACCAATGAGACTCATCGTTACAAACCGCCTGTTCATTCACAATCTTACCCAATACTACAACAATAACAAATGTGGCATTGTCATTTTTACACGTTCCACGAAATCAAGGAGTAAAGGAATACTTTTCCTCGACTGTGCCACGATTTCGCTTTCAGCTGACACAGGGATGACTATCTTTTACCCCACCATGAGCTCCAACTTTCAGCTGTCACAGGAATAACTATCCTTTACCCCAACATGAGCTCCAATTTGTAATTGATGCTGCATCGTCCTGGGCCACCAATGCTGCATCGTCCTGGGCCACCAATCATGGCTTCAGGTACATTACGTCTATGACTTATGATATCACTTTTACTCAGAAGCACGTAATTTATCACTCCTACGGTCGCTCTAAGGTAGTCCCATTCTTAGATTCTACTAAATTTTTGGGGTTGATCTTTGACATTCGTTTATCTTAACCACCTCATATCTCTTACCTGCAAGTCGAGTGCTCTAAGGCCCTTACATTACTTGGTCTTGTCCTGTAGTCCCAGGGAACCTGATTGATGCACCTATTTGCATTCCTCTCTTCTGCTGTCTAAACTTGATTATGGCCGTCCTTCGTACTGCTTTGCCTCTCCTTCGATCCCCTTCGTCATCCTGATGCTCTGCACCATGCTGGGTGGCGCCTCACCTCTGGTGCCTCTCGTTCGTCCCCTACACAGACGTAGGACGAACATAGACGGTTCCTACACGTAGGAACCGACGTCTTGTCGCTACAAGATCGTTGGGATCGTTAATGCCTTCGCTGCATAGCATGGTCTATGCAACATTCTCATTCTCGCTTTTGCCAAGCTTTGGGTGTTGCCTCTGTGATAGATCCTGTTACCCTTCATCACCTTCCATTTTCTATTAGAATGTCTCACTTGCAAGTTTCACTTTCGGTTCATGTTTGCAATGTCTCGTCTCGTGTTGCTCCGTCTTTGCCTTCATAGTGCGTCTTAAATGACACACTTGATGAAGGCTTCTATCTCTCCTACTAATGTGAAACGCCTTTTCCTTGAAAATGTTTCTTCACACTCGCACTCTGTTGCACCTATTCAGAGATGGGTCCAAGTCTGCCGATGGTGATGGCAATTCCATAGTCTTTACAGACCAAACTTATATGTGTAACGTACTTATGAAGGCTAGTATCTTCATGCTAGTATCTTAGTGCTAGTATCTTCATGCTAGTATCTTAGTGCTAGTATCTTCATGCTAGTATCTTAGTGCTAGTATCTTCATGCTAGTATCTTAGTGCTAGTATCTTCATGCTAGTATCTTAGTACTAGTATCTTCATGCTAGTATCTTAGTGCTAGTATCTTCATGCTAGTATCTTAGTGCTAGTATCTTCATGCTAGTATCTTAGTGCTAGTATCTTCATGCTAGTATCTTAGTGCTAGTATCTTCATGCTAGTATCTTAGTGCTAGTATCTTCATGTTAGTATCTTAGTGCTAGTATCTTCATGCTAGTATCTTAGTGCTAGTATCTTCATGCTAGTATCTTAGTGCTAGTATCTTCATGCTAGTATCTTAGTGCTAGTATCTTCATGCTAGTATCTTAGTGCTAGTATCTTCATGATAGTATCTTAGTGCTAGTATCTTCATGTTAGTATCTTAGTGCTAGTATCTTCATGCTAGTATCTTAGTGCTAGTATTTTCATGCTAGTATCTTAGTGCTAGTATCTTCATGCTAGTATCTTAGTGCTAGTATCTTCATGCTAGTATCTTAGTGCTAGTATCTTCATGCTAGTATCTTAGTGCTAGTATCTTCATGCTAGTATCTTAGTGCTAGTATCTTCATGCTAGTATCTTAGTGCTAGTATCTTCATGCTAGTATCTTAGTGCTAGTATCTTCATGCTAGTATCTTAGTGCTAGTATCTTCATGTTAGTATCTTAGTGCTAGTATCTTCATGCTAGTATCTTAGTGCTAGTATCTTCATGTTAGTATCTTAGTGCTAGTATCTTCATGCTAGTATCTTAGTGCTAGTATCTTCATGCTAGTATCTTAGTGCTAGTATCTTCATGTTAGTATCTTAGTGCTAGTATCTTCATGCTAGTATCTTAGTGCTAGTATCTTCATGCTAGTATCTTAGTGCTAGTATCTTCATGCTAGTATCTTAGTGCTAGTATCTTCATGTTAGTATCTTAGTGCTAGTATCTTCATGCTAGTATCTTAGTGCTAGTATCTTCATGCTAGTATCTTAGTGCTAGTATCTTCATGCTAGTATCTTAGTGCTAGTATCTTCATGCTAGTATCTTAGTGCTAGTATCTTCATGCTAGTATCTTAGTGCTAGTATCTTCATGTTAGTATCTTAGTGCTAGTATCTTCATGTTAGTATCTTAGTGCTAGTATCTTCATGTTAGTATCTTAGTGCTAGTATCTTCATGCTAGTATCTTAGTGCTAGTATCTTCATGCTAGTATCTTAGTGCTAGTATCTTCATGCTAGTATCTTAGTGCTAGTATCTTCATGCTAGTATCTTAGTGCTAGTATCTTCATGCTGGTATCTTAGTGCTAGTATCTTCATGCTAGTATCTTAGTGCTAGTATCTTCATGCTAGTATCTTAGTGCTAGTATCTTCATGTTAGTATCTTAGTGCTAGTATCTTCATGCTAGTATCTTAGTGCTAGTATCTTCATGCTAGTATCTTAGTGTTAGTATCTTCATGTTAGTATCTTAGTGCTAGTATCTTCATGCTAGTATCTTAGTGCTAGTATCTTCATGCTAGTATCTTAGTGCTAGTATCTTCATGTTAGTATCTTAGTGCTAGTATCTTCATGCTAGTATCTTAGTGCTAGTATCTTCATGCTAGTATCTTAGTGCTAGTATCTTCATGTTAGTATCTTAGTGCTAGTATCTTCATGCTAGTATCTTAGTGCTAGTATCTTCATGCTAGTATCTTAGTGCTAGTATCTTCATGCTAGTATCTTAGTGCTAGTATCTTCATGTTAGTATCTTAGTGCTAGTATCTTCATGCTAGTATCTTAGTGCTAGTATCTTCATGCTAGTATCTTAGTGCTAGTATCTTCATGTTAGTATCTTAGTGCTAGTATCTTCATGCTAGTATCTTAGTGCTAGTATCTTCATGCTAGTATCTTAGTGCTAGTATCTTCATGTTAGTATCTTAGTGCTAGTATCTTCATGCTAGTATCTTAGTGCTAGTATCTTCATGCTAGTATCTTAGTGTTAGTATCTTCATGCTAGTATCTTAGTGCTAGTATCTTCATGCTAGTATCTTAGTGCTAGTATCTTCATGTTAGTATCTTAGTGCTAGTATCTTCATGCTAGTATCTTAGTGCTAGTATCTTCATGCTAGTATCTTAGTGCTAGTATCTTCATGTTAGTATCTTAGTGCTAGTATCTTCATGCTAGTATCTTAGTGCTAGTATCTTCATGCTAGTATCTTAGTGCTAGTATCTTCATGTTAGTATCTTAGTGCTAGTATCTTCATGCTAGTATCTTAGTGCTAGTATCTTCATGCTAGTATCTTAGTGCTAGTATCTTCATGCTAGTATCTTAGTGCTAGTATCTTCATGCTAGTATCTTAGTGCTAGTATCTTCATGCTAGTATCTTAGTGCTAGTATCTTCATGCTAGTATCTTAGTGCTAGTATCTTCATGCTAGTATCTTAGTGCTAGTATCTTCATGCTAGTATCTTAGTGCTAGTATCTTCATGCTAGTATCTTAGTGCTAGTATCTTCATGTTAGTATCTTAGTGCTAGTATCTTCATGCTAGTATCTTAGTGCTAGTATCTTCATGCTAGTATCTTAGTGCTAGTATCTTCATGCTAGTATCTTAGTGCTAGTATCTTCATGCTAGTATCTTAGTGCTAGTATCTTCATGCTAGTATCTTAGTGCTAGTATCTTCATCTTCATGCTAGTATCTTAGTGCTAGTATCTTCATGCTAGTATCTTCACAGGTGGACTCTATGCAGTTTTTTATGCTGTTCGTCAATTGCTTTTCTGACCTAAACGTTCATTTGTCATTGTGGTTAACTCTCGTAGTGCTCTCAACGCTTTGGAGTTATTTAATACTATACCTCCTGTGATATTCAATGTCCAAAATTGGTTGTTTCTTATCTCTAGCAGATTTAAGATAGTTGAGTTTTGCTGGGATCCCATCCACATTGGTATTATTTTACTTTAAACGAGCATGTGGACACTGCCGCTAAGGAGACTATCCACACTCTCCCAACAAAGCATCCCTTCTTCACCTTTTTTACCCAACGGTTCACCCTTCAATCCAGGACCATTGGTCAGGTGTTACAAGTGACAAATTGCACACTCTGAAGAGTAGGCTGTCCCCTTGGGCTTCCTCCAATCACCTTAATCAGCGGTGGGAAATGGCTCTGGCTAGGCTACACGGGCACTTTGTGGAATGCTGCCCTGCTCCTTATTGTCCACTGCATTGTCCTGCTTACTGTTATGTAATGTTGTACTGCTTGTGTAATGTCTCGACTTTCAGTACGTTCGGGTGACTTGTTTTCCTGTTGTCCCTCGAGGTCACTTTCATTTGATAATTACTTGTTTCCGATTGCCTCAAAACGTATTGAGTGATGGTTTAGACAGTAGGACTATTGTTTGATTACATTAAGTTTGGTCAACCTTTGTAAAAAAAAAATATGCAAAAAAATTAAGTAATATTTCATTTGAATTGTAAGTTTTATTGCTATTGAGAAAATAATGAAAGAGCGTGCAAGTGTTATCAACGATTGTTATTGTTGCAGACAACTTTGACTCGTGCCCTGCCACCCCGGCCTCTGCCTACCCCCGAAGTCCTGCACATGACGTCACACAGTTACTTGAGAATCTAAATCTCGATACAGGTAAGTTTGCATCAAGAAGCATCTCCTTGAATTCTAATATTAGTAATTAACCCTTCTGGGAGATCTTTCAGTTGTCCCATGTGTTGTATGCCTCTGACCACAACCTCCTCAACAAAGTTTAGAACCCGTAGCTACTGTGGATGAAATGCACAAAATATGGACACTTGTATCCCAAAAAGTAACGTTTTGTACTCTTGAAATACTATGGGATAGACAGCATATGTAAAAAGGGTAACCATAAGCCTATTCTAGTCTGTTCTACTAATGTTAGACCTAGCAATCCTAGGCCTAACAATCTTATACTTAGGCCTATATTAGTACGTGTGTAGTATAGTAGACTAAGCAAAAGTTAGGTTTGGTTGTTGCCCTCATTCTCAGGCCCATTGCAAAATTAATAGTACAAAATTGAGGACTCTTTTGGGATGCGATATTCTACATTTTGTACTTCGTCCAGAGTAGCTGTAATCACTGTACTCTCTGGACGAAACATTCTCTTACCAACGAGTCTGTCCTCTTAACTCGCATCACATGTCAGCAAGTCATCCTCAAACTCCCGAGCCTAAAGTTTCAAATAATTTGAAAGAGCCTAACAGAGATGGTCCCAATTTTGATATAAAATATCTCCAGTAATAATCTTTATTTCAATTCATAACATCTTTAGCGAATACCGTTCCTGATGTTTCATCTGATTACATTCGAAGCTTATGTCGGAAATTACGTGGCTTGCCCACAGTGTCTGCAAGTGGAGTCGAAGTGCTTAAGATATTGGGACTGGAATAAGCTTCGAAAGTCTAATTAACTTTTTAAAATATGCAGAAACTCTCTAACACACACAGAATGTTTTCTCACAAAATAACAAATTGGTAATTCGCGAGATGAAGCAGATTTTTAAATGAAGCACACTGCAGGCCGTGAACAGGTGGGGACGTTCTTGGCCTGCAGTGATCCTATGAAGACTGTAGGGGTGGTAGATGGTACTGGTCATATGGAGACTGTAGGGGTGGCAGATGGTACTGGTCATATGAAGACTGTAGGGGGGTGGTAGATGGTACTGGTCATATGGAGACTGTAGGGGTGGCAGATGGTACTGGTCATATGGAGACTGTAGGGGTGGTAGATGGTACTGGTCATATGGAGACTGTAGGGGTGGCAGATGGTACTGGTCATATGAAGACTGTAGGGGGGTGGTAGATGGTACTGGTCATATGGAGACTGTAGGGGTGGCAGATGGTACTGATCATATGGAGACTGTAGGGGGTGGTAGATGGTACTGGTCATATGGAGACTGTAGGGGTGGCAGATGGTACTGGTCATATGGAGACTGTAGGGGTGGTAGATGGTACTGATCATATGGAGACTGTAGGGGTGGTAGATGGTACTGGTCATATGGAGACTGTAGAGGTGGTAGATGGTACTGGTCATATGGAGACTGTAGGGGTGGCAGATGGTACTGGTCATATGGAGACTGTAGGGGTGGCAGATGGTACTGGTCATATGAAGACTGTAGGGGTGGCAGATGGTACTGGTCATATGGAGACTGTAGGGGTGGCAGATGGTACTGGTCATATATAATAAATCTGGCGACAGGAGGGATTTATCAAGCAGGATTTACCCACCAAGGAGGTCGCTGAAGCTGCTGTATTGAGGAGTCACCAGTTCGAGGCTGGCCTCCACTTCCTGCCAGCTAAAGCCTTTTTTTCTTAAACTGCTAACCATGATTTATGCTGTTCAGTTGTTATAGAAAAATTAATACGCTTTACTGAAATAAAACAATATTTATTGTTTTATTCCTACAAATTAAACAACAGTACACTGGACAGTTTAAATCTTAATGAAATAAATCCAATGAAACTAACCCCCAATATGTCATGTGGAGTCAACAAACAAACATTTTTCCAGTCCACTGCTCATCATAATTATTTACACATTCACACATAAAATAATTCTGCAAAATCTTGCTTGTTAGAACTAACAGAGAGTTACTAAGATGTGTAAGCTAATAGACTGTTACATTGGAGGCGGTGCTGGAGGCGTGAAGGAGGAGGTGCTGGAGGCGCCACCACCTTTCACTACTCCTCCGGGTCCCACCGCTCACAGGAACCCCCAGCGCACAACAGTAAGTATTTTAATGGTCAATGGTTTAACATAATGGTATAACAAGCTATAGCATTATAACGTTATTTAAGTTGCAATAATGAATTGCACACATTGTACTGCACCATTGTACACATTGTACTGCATCATTGTACACATTGTACTGCATCATTGTACACATTGTACTGCATCATTGTACACATTGTACTGCATCATTGTACACATTGTACTGCACCAGTGCACACATTGTACTGCACCAGTGCACATGTTGATGCAGTGTCAATTCACCTCACTAGAACATTTTTTTTAAACTTATTAAATAATAACCAGATTCATTTATCTTTTATCATCATTCATCTCATCTCTCAACCCCACCCATCACTGCCCCCATCCCATCTCTCAACCCCACCCATCACTGCCTCCATCCCATCTCTCAACCCCACCCATCACTGCCTCCATCCCATCTCTCAACCCCACCCATCACTGCCCCCATCCCATCTCTCAACCCCACCCATCACTGCCTCCATCCCATCTCTCAACCCCACCCATCACTGCCTCCATCCCATCTCTCAACCCCACCCATCACTGCCTCCATCCCATCTCTCACCCCCACCCATCACTGCCCCCATCCCATCTCTCAACCCCACCCATCACTGCCCCCATCCCATCTCTCAACCCCACCCATCCCTGCCTCCATTCCATCTCTCAGCCCCACCCATCACTGCCCCCATCCCATCTCTCAACCCCACCCATCCCTGCCTCCATCCCATCTCTCAGCCCCACCCATCCCTGCCTCCATCCCATCTCTCAGCCCCACCCATCCCTGCCTCTGTAACAGGGACGGGGTAATGTCTCTCTCGTCCACTACCCTGCCTTTAGTTAACTAAACTTAAAGGCTGCAGAGCTCCATTATTAACCTTCAGTCCACTCCTCATGATCTTATACGGTTGATCGTCTTAGATACTACAGACACGAAAGCTGTACTGCGTCCCTAGTAACCTCTTGAGATCTGCTCAGCTGCCACCACCTGAATCCGCTTCCTTGATTAGCCCCCTAATTGACAGTGAAGCAGGAAACCATCAATTAGATATAATTCTCCTAATATGGATCCCCCAATTAACTGAAAAGGGAGGGATGAATTTAAGTGAAGTGTAGAATTAAATCGAAAACCAAGGGAATATATCCGATATTAAATATAATAGGCTTGCTTGAAATTTGTGCCACGACTCGTCTATTGACCCGGCTCGTGGATTCCGCGGCAAAGACAATCATATATTCTATGGGTAAACTCAAAACACTAAACTAGAAATTACTCAACAAGATTTATTATATCAAGATTATCAAATGAATTTAAAATGAAACACGCCCTATCTTAACACTTCCTAAACTGAATATATCCCTAACTGAGGCAAATGAATTAAATGGGTTAAAAATCAAATGTAGTAAACTCTTAAACACTTTACCGTAATTCTCTAAGCCCAGCCTGAAGTTCGCTTGGCCTTCTGGAGGGGAGATGGTGACCCCAGGATGCTCCACACCACACTAACTCTACTCTCTGTCTTCCAGACTGAAGCTAGCTAAGATTACCCCGCCAGCTTCTCTAGCTGCGGGATTACTAAGGAGGGTTAATTGAACAAACTAATCTTATTTACTGGCCACCCAGATGATTGAATTCCTATTGATACTGATGGTAATTCGATAGGCATCTTGATCCCGGCTATTTCCAATTACACTATTGAATAGTGACCTGAATTTATAAATTATGAATTAACAACTTGGAAGGTTGTGGTCACCTCTGGCCACGTGACCTTGACCCAGGGTGAGTCATAGACGGGCCTGGCGAACTAGTCCCCCCTATCCTAAATGACGTCACTTTCTCTTTGCCAGCATACGAACCTTGATCTTGACTCTACATTCATGTTAACCTAACCTAAGTCCTTAAACCAGATGGATTATTACTACAATTACTGTATTTATTGAATTATTCATCACTGTTGAATTAATACAAGGGAAACGCAAAATTTTATTTTCAATCCTCGCTAATCCCTTAATCTCTGGCGAGATGACCTTTCCTCTCTTAACCAAGTAAAAATACCCTCAGACTTCATGCTTATGTTCCCTGTAAAACCATATGATCTGGGATCTATAACTTCTAAAACAAGCTTAGCTTGTAACACCTCCACCCCATCTCTCAACCCCACCCATCCCATCTATCAACCCCCCACCCACCCCTACATCCATCCCATCTCTCAACACCTCTCATCCCTTCATCCATTCCATCTCTCAACCCTACCCATCCCTGCATCCATCCCATTTCTCAACTTCCACTCATCCACTCTTTCAACTTCCACCAGTAGAGAGGTGTAGAAGCATCTGCTAGATTTGGATGTGATAAAGGCTATAGGCCCGGATGAATCTCACCATGGATACTAAAAGATGGAGCAGAAGCTCTGTGCCTGCCTTTCTCCATGGTGTTCAACAAATCACTGGTAACAGGTGAACTGCCAAAAATTGGGAAGATGGTTAATGTAGTCCCGATATACAAGAAGAGTGACAGACAGGAGGCATTGAGATTCAGTCTAGTGTACTTAACTTGCATACTATGCAAAACGATGGAAAAGATTGTGCGGAAAAAGCTTGTGGAACATCTGAAGCGAAAGAACTTTGTAACACAACATCAGCATGCGTTCAGAGATGGCAAGTCATGTCTCAGAGAATTAATTGAGTTCTATGACCAGGCATAAAAAATCAGGCAAGATAAAGAGGGCTGGGTAGACTGCATATTTTTTCGATTGCCAGAAAGCCTTTGACACAGTATTACGTAAGAGACTAGTGCACAAGCTGGAGATGCAGGCAAGAGTGACAAGGAAGGTACTCCACTGGATAAGGGAGTACCTAAGCAACAGAAGACCAAGTCACTGTGAGGGGGAAGGTCTCGGAGAGGCGAGGCGTCACTAGTGGAGTCCCACAGGAATCAGTCCTTGGACCTATACTGTTTCTAATATATGTAAATGATCTCCGAAAGGGAATAGACTCGTTCCTCTCAATGTTTGCTGATGATGAAAATTATGAGGAGGATTAAAACAGAGGAAGATAGTATCAGGCTACAAGAAGACCTAAACAAACTGAAGGAATGGTCGAACAAATGGCTACTAAAATTCAACCAAGTAACTTTAAGGTAATAAAACTAGGCGGAGGAAATAGGAGGCCAGACACTGGATTCCGAATGGGAGACGAAGTCCTTCGCGAAATGGACAGAGAGAAAGATCTGGAAGATGATATGCAAAACCTGTCTCCTGAAGCCCACATCAAAAGAATAACATCGGTGGCGTATGCGAGGCTGGCTAACATCAGATCTGCTTTCAGAAACCTGTGTAAGGAATATTTCAGAACCTTGTATACCACATATGTAAGGCCAATCCTGGAGTATGCAGCCCCAGCATGGAGCCCATACCTTGTCAAGCACAAGACGAAGCTGGAAAAAGTTCAGAGATATGCCACTAGGCTAGTCATAGAACTAAGAGATATGAGTTATGAGGAAAGGCTGCGTGAACTGCACCTCACGTCGCAGGAAGACAGAAGAGCTTGGGAAGAAATGATCACCACATACAAAATCCTCAGGGGAATTGACAGAGGGGCACAAGGATGGATTATTTAACACGGGTGATACACGTACAGGAGGGGGGGGGGAAACACAGGTGGAAGCTGAGTACCCAAATGAGCCACAGAGATAGTAGAAAGAACTTTTTCATTGTCAGAGTAGTTAGTAAATGGAATGCACTAGGAAATGATGTGGTGGAGGCTGACTCCATACACAGTTTCAAATGTAGATATGATAGAGCCCAGTAGGCTCAGGAATCTGTACACCAGTTGATTGACGGCTGAGAAGCGGGACCAAAGAGCCAGAGCTCAACCCCCGCAAGTACAACTAGGTGAGTACAACAACTAGGTGGGTACATGCTGGGTAAAAGTGTGATGTCAAAGGCTGGGTACAAGTGTGATGTCACAGGTTTGGTACAATTGTGTTATGTCACAGGTTTGGTACAAGTGTGATGTCACAGGCTTGGTACAAGTGTGATGTCACATGCTGGGTACAAGTGTGATGTCACAAGCTTCGTACAGGTGTGATGTCACAAGCTAGATATAAGTGTGATGTCACAGGTTTGGTACAAGTGTGATGTCACAAGCTTGTTATAAGTGTGATGTCACAGGCTGGGTACAAGTGTGATGTCACAGGCTGGGTACAAGTGTGATGTCACAGGATCTTCTTGAGGTTATCTTGAGATGATTTCGGGGCTTTAGTGTCCCCGCGGCCCGGTCCTCGACCAGGCCTCAGTAGTGAATAAGGAGACAGATTGAGGTAAAAAAATTTCAGAAACGGTTGGGCACTTCCATGCCGACTTGACCCTGTCGGGCCAGATCGTCCATTCCTCTTATTTGGGTGGTTAGGTTAGGGCACAGTCAGCGCGCTCCTGGCTGGCTGGCGGTGGTGGGGTGGTGGTCCCCCCTGGGGTCCCGGGGGGACCACCACCAATGGTGTACCTGAGGAACTGGTGCCCTATCCTAACCTGTTTTCTTGAACGATTCGTCTCGAGCTTTTAAGATGAGTCTAGGGCCTCAATGAGGGGGTCTCTACTTATGAGAGGTACCGAGGATGAATGTTCAATAGTTGGAAACCAAAAAATACACTGGTGAAAGGCGTATAAACGTTTTTGGAGTATTTTAATGGCATGAGCAAAAATGCACGATTTGTCCCGGGGGTGTTACGAGAGTACTACGGTATCAATTTGGGGGCCCTTACTTTTGAATGGATCAGAGGGTGAATGTTCAATAGATTCAAACCAAGAAACACAGTTGAAAGCGAATATAGAAGTTTTTGGAGTACTTTAATGAGGCTATGACTGAATAGTATAGGGAGCCCTTGGGCACAGCTCCATTTTCTGTAATGGTCAGAGGTGGATAACCCCCAGTGGGGGTCAAGCATACAAGGGGGGGTCAAGATTCCTTACAAAGACCAAGTTT